CTAATATATAGCGGACATCTTTAAAAACAACAGGCCTAGCCCTTCTGAGCCCAACCCTACCCTTGTAAAAATTTTCGTGAGGATCGGACGAGAATTGTAATCCTTATATAGTAAATCCAACCTGTGTTGTAATGTGAAAAAATATTAAAAAATATTATAAGTCAAATTGAAAAAATCGCATGCGATAAGAAATATGTCACAAAATACTACAAAATCTATATTAACATCATTATTGGTATATTTTTCTGCGATTTTTTTTAGATTTGATACTTTTATGTCAAGAGGGCATTCTGAAATCACAACATTTGTCAAAATCGGTCCAGTCATTCTTGAGATATGAGCATTCTAACTAACATCCCCTTTCTTTGTATATACACATTGTATATATTTCGCTATATATAACCGATATATTTACTATCGGCATCTACGTAACGGTCAGAATTGACCTGTTCGTCTATTTATGATTTCGTCGGGACTAAAAATATTCGCGGTTTAATATAAAATTTGACTTTTATTTAACAGAAATGTTATGGTCTATTTCACCCATTAAATATTACCCGATGACCACCAAAATGGGAAGGCTTATGCCCAGCCCGAAGCTCTAGCCCCATGCTAACTTCCGCTTCGATTGGTCCATAATTGCGTCCTGTAGAGCAACTGCAAAATCAGGAAATTTTTCAGTTTTTGGTCCATTTGAACCCCTTAATATTATGCGACCATAGGGTTCTATTCTGGCCCTAGACCCACCTCCATTCTAAATTTCGTGAAGATCGGGCCATAATTGCGATTAACATGGACAGACGGACGGACGGACATACATAGCTAGATCGACTCAGCTCGGCAAGATAGGAAGATCGATATATACATCCCTATGTGGGAAACCACTATTTCGAGGTGTTACATAATTGTTGGCCCAATCAAATTTATAATACCCCAACATATTGTGTTGTAGGGTATAACAATTAAACTAAAAAATTTGAAATTTCTGAAAAGTGCTAAATTTGGGAAAATTTATAAGGACAAAAAACATGGGACTATTGACTATTTTTAACCAGCTAAACATTACATAATTTTTTTTTTTAATTTTATTGAATGAAAGCAAAAATGTCGGAAATAGCATGATATTTTAGAATAAATTTAGATTTGTTCGAATTGGTCACCTTTGGCACGAATTATGCCCATCAAACGGCCAATGAAACCGTCACACGATGCCCGAATGTTCCTCTGCAGTATTTTGGCCCATTCCCGGCGAAGCGCTTGCTTGAGGTGATCGACACTTTGGTATTTTTTAGCGCCAACCTTGCTTTCCAAAATACACCAGACACAATAGTCTAACGGATTGGTATCCGGAGATTTTGGTGGCCATTGTGCGCTGGGATGGAAGCGAGGAACCTCATTTTATAACCATTTTTGGGTGGCGCGTGCTGAGTGCGATGGTGCTGAGTCCTGTTGGAATGTCCAAGGTCTGTGGCCAAAATGTTTGCGTACCCAAGGCTTTAATACACCCTCCAGAATATTTTCGCAATAATATTCGGCATTTATTCTGATACCACATACGATTAATACGAGCGGAGAGCGTCCATCGGTTGTTATGGCGGCCCACACCATCACCATGGCCGGAGCTTGAGTTCTGGTGACCAACCGAAGGTGTACATTTTCAGCTGACCTCTTTGGCAAGTAAACCGATCATTTTGTCTGTTTACAAACTGCTGGACAACGAATGTTTTCTAATTGGAGAAAACTCAAATTCGGCAGTTCACCACTTTCGGCCAAGCGAAGCAAATTTTTAGCTCTTTTGAGTATATTTTCTTTCTCCTTGCACTTTTTGAAATTTCAATGGCTATACCCCGAGCTCCATTCCTTTTTCAATATTTCCCGAATGAAATATTGCGATATGTTCAACTCACGAGCCATTTTTCGGCCACTTCGACGCTGGTTTCGATCAAGTCGTTTCTTTATTTTTCGAACCATTTCTGCTGATTCTTTCGTCCACTTCCTTGATGTCGGGATACGCTACCAGTATCACAGACAAATGATTTATTCACAACATTTAATTGCTGGAGTGCTCTAACGATAGCCACTTGTGGTTTTCCAGCCAAATATAAAGAAATCACACTATCACGCTTGAATTCCATCACGAATAACTTTTTTTTCTGGAAAATTCTCATCAAAATGCTTTTGTGCGCTTGTAAACAATATAATGAGCTGTCACTGGAATAAATTTAACAGCTGTCGGACGAGTGGCTTTGAAATGACAGCAGTCTGAAGTTGGTTGCAGTTTTTTCATCTCGCCCTGAACAACAATGTTATGTGGTACATAGTTGGCATGATCTACTTAACATAAATTCCCAATATAATATTTTTTGTTACGGGAGCTCTACTAAATACACCTAGTGGTTTAGGGTATCATATAGTCGCACAACTTGAGACCTTTCCATACTGCTTTTTTGTGTTGTATATAAAAATCTTGCCGTGACTCAGAATACTTTGAAAGCTTCCAAAATGAAAGCTAAGGCACTGTTGAAGGAATACAAGGTCATCGCCCGCAAGTTGCCCTCCGAAAAGGAGCCTCAATCTCCTTTGTACAAGATGAGAATCTTTTCTCCCGACAACATTTTTGCCAAATTCCGTTTCTGGTACTTCTTGCGCCAATTGAAGAAGTTCAAGAAGACCACCGGTGAAATTGTTGGCCTATGTCGATTTAGCCATGTCCGTCCGTCTATGGAAATCACTCTGGCTTCCGAACGAAATGAAGTAGGTTGATAAAATTTTACTCAAATGTGTATTATGTCTGCAGGACTTTTGGTATTGAAAATGGGCCATGTAGGTCCATGTCATCGTATAGCCCCCATATAACGGTACCCCCCCGATATTCGGTATTTTGATGATTTTAGCGACATTATTTTAGCGGAAATGTTTCAAATTTGGTATTTCAAGTTCGTAATGGGTACTACAGCCTATGACAGAAATTTGTCTGTGCAGGTCCACGTGTTCGTATAGCTCCCATATAACGGTACGCACCGATATTCGGTATTTTGTATTTCGCATTTGAATATTGTAATAGCTTGTGACAAAAAATTGCCTATGCAGGTCCACGTCGTCGCATAGACCCTAATATTTTTTTTTGAAAATTGCAAATTTGTACCATATGGTGGAGGGCCCGGCCGAACTTACAGCTTTTTTACTTGTTTTATATTGTAAGACTATCCTGAAAGCGTCAGTGAAACACACGGTGTTTTGTTTGAAGGTAAAACAAATAAATATATGTTATACCAAATTAAATCATATACACAAAATTTGTAAATATTTTATTATTTTTTAGTCATTTTTATTTTTTTTCTTGGTTTACAAAAATACATATAATTCATATAAGGTATGTTCTTTTAGGCTTTGGAGCATTAATTAAAAACAAACAAAAAATTAATAATTACTATTTATAAATGCCATTAAATAATATACATATCTAAATATCTTTGTTTTAACAGGTGACTAAATACAAATAGTTTAGATGTGGGATAGATAAATTATAATTCAATTATAAATAGACGAAAATACACAGAAATAAATGAAAGCCTATTTTACTTTAGAATATCACTGGATACTTATGATTACTAAAAGTGATTGAATTATAATAATTTTTTCACATTAAAAAATCTAATAATGAAGATATCAACAAAAGAATACTTTGAATGGAGAATGAATTTAGTGGAAAGAGAAGTTTACAATTTTTCTTAATTTTTTTTTTAGATTTAAAATTTATCCAAAATTAATGAATGTTTTGATTCATAAAAAAATTCAAAAGAGAATTTTAATATATTTTTAATTTTTTTTTAAGAATTTAAAAAATTAATTTATGAATTTTTTGATTCATAAGAAGAGCATTCATTGAAAAGGGATTTTAAGACTCAATTTTTTATAGATCCCAAATTCATCCAAAATTAGTGAATGTTATGATTCATAAGAAAATAATTGATTTCAAAGTGATTTTAATATATTTTTTAAAGTTTTTGTTGAGAACATCCAAAATTAATGAATATTTTGATTTATAAGAAAATAATTTATTGGAAAGTGATTTTAATATTTTTCTTCAATTTTTTTTGATCCGAAATTCATCCAAAATTAATGAATGTTTTGATTCATAAGAATAGAATTTATTGGAAAGTGATTTTAAAATTTTTCTTTAATTTTTTGTTGAGAACATACAAAATTAATGAATACTTCGACTCATAAGAAAAGAATTTATTGGAAAGTAATTTGAATATGTTTCTTCAATTTTTTTTAGATCCAAAATTCATCCAAAATTAATGAATGTTTGGATTCATAAAAAAATAATTGGAAAGTAATTTTAATTTTTTTTTATTTTTTTTTTTTAATCATCCAAAATTACTGAAGACTTTGATTCATAGGAAAAGAGTTCACTGGAAAGTAATTTTAATATATTTTTTTAATTTTTGTTTAGATCCAAAATTAATGAATGTTTTGATTCATAAGAACAGAATTTATTGGATAGTAATTTTAATATTTTTTTTTTCAATTTTTTTTTGAAAACATCCAAAAATAATGAATTCTTTGATTCGTAGGAAATTCACTGGAAAGTAATTTTTATATTTTCCTTAATTTTTTTTAAACCTTTAAAATTAATGAAGACCTGGATTCACAAGAAAAGAATTAATTTCAAAGCATTTGAAAAATTTTCCATCAATTTTTTATGAACGCCGAAAATTAAATTTTTTATATTTTGGTTTTTTACATTTGGATGGGTCTTTTTTACATTTTATTAATCTTTTTTATTTTTATTCTCATACAATTATTTTTTTTATTATTTAAAATACAAAAACCTATGACTACATGGCTGCGAAAGACTCTTTTTACAACATTATTTTCTTTTAATTTTATATTTTTTTTTACATAAAAATCTTTATGTATCTAGCAGGTCACAAGGTTGAGGTGTCCGTCTGGCGTGTGTGTTTGGGCACTTGTGTACGTATATTTTTTGTGTACTATATATAACAAGATAAATCTCAGTTGAACGTGACTTGAAAACTTTGTCTTTTTTTGTTTTATTAGCTTAAAGTTATAAAGCCTTTCCGTGAGTTTTTGTTTTTATTTCTTACTTCCTTAACTATTATTGAAAAAAAAATTGGGGGGATTTAAAAAAAATTGTGGATGTGTGTGTGTATTATACAATGACTTCTCTGGCGACGTGTTATGATTTGGTATGAGTGATAACAACACAGGGCTACAAAAATACTTTTTTCTTTTTGGAAAGTTAGTGAAGATCGCAGATCTTCTAATTTTTAAAATTCCACTTTGAAAAAAATTCACATCTTTCCAAAAGAATACATTCTTTTTTCCGTAATTTAATTTTTGTAGCACAGTGTTATTTTTTTCTATTGAACGTTAACTAATGGAACTTATGACGTAATATGACAATGCAAACTAGTTTAAATTATATCTTAATTGTTTTGTAATTACTTCTAAATTAAAGCTGGCTTCTTAGGACAGAATATTATAATGACATATGTATGTGTGCATATATGTAGGTAGGTAGCTAGGTGTGGGTATCGGCTATTAATGTAATTGTCATTCGTTGTTTATGGCCTTGGATTTGCTTCCACTATTGGCCAATGAACTTTGAACTCTTTCTCAAAATGCAATTATGATACAATAAAAAAAATATTCTAATTATTTTTTTTTTTGAACTTATTTCAAATAATTCTTTAATTAATTAACTTTTTTAATACAATATTTACAAAAAATAGCAAAAATGGGACTTCATTTGTTGTTTTGTTTTTTAATAATAAAAAAATACAATTTTTCACAACAACTGGGGGTGAGAGAATTGATTGGATTTTGCTAATTTTTAAAGGGAGGTAATTTTAAAAAAATATTTCAAATAAAAAAAATATTTATAATTTGGAGAATTTCCATTCTCAAGCTTTTCAAATAATATTTGAAATCATTTAAAAATCCATTTAAATTAATTTATTGTGAAATCACAACTACCGACATATTTTAGAAAAAATTTACAGAAATTTTGAAAAATATAAAGTTTTACAAATTTTCTTTTGTTAACTTTTCCGAGGATATATTAAACTTGTAAAGAATGGAGAAGACCTGAAGAAGGTTTCTATTCCCATAAATCGAAAACCAGGAGGTCTTTTCCATAGACAAGACCTGGAAAACGTATTTTCCAAAGAGAAAACTTGAAGAGGGTGTTTTCCCTAGAGAAGACCGGAAGAGGGTATTGTCCATAGCAAAGACCTAGAGGGGGTATAGTCCATAGACAAGACCTGGAAAGTGTTAGGTCCATAGAAAAGGCCTTTAGAAGAGCTGGATAAGGTCTTTACAAAAATTTTGAAAATAAAAAAAAATTTATAAACATTTTTTTGTTAACTTTTCTCCTGGAAATTGTCTTTTCCATAAAGAAGACTTGGAAAAGGTATTTTCAATAGGGAAGACCTGAAAAGGGTATTGTCCATAGGGAAAACCTGGAGGGGTATTGTCCATAGAAGAGAACTTGAGAAGTTCTTGCCCATAAAGAAGACCTGGATAAGGTCTTTTCCATGGAGAAGACCTAGAAAAGGTTTTTCCATAAAGAAGACCTGGAAAAGGTATTTTCCTTAGACAAGACCTGAAAAACGTTTTTTTAATAGACAAGACCTGGAAATGGTCTATTCCATTGGGAAGACCTGAAGAGGGTATTATCTATAGGGAAAACCTGAAGAGGCTATTGTCCATAGACAAGACCTGGATAAGGTATTTTTATAGGAAAAAACCTGCGACAGTGTTAGGTTCATAGAAAGGACCTTGAGAAGTTCTTGTCCATAAAGAAGAAATGAAGAAGGTCTTTTCCACAGAGAAGTCCTGGAGAAGATATTCTCTATAGACAAGACCTGGAAATGGTCTTTTCTATAGAGAAGACTTGCAAAAGGTCTTTCCCCTACATAAGATCTGAAGAGAGCCTTCTCCATATAAAAGATCTGGAGAGGGTCCTGTCCATAGAACAAATCCTGGAAAGCATCCTTTCCACAGAGAAGACGTGGAGAGAGTTTTCTCCATAGAACGAGTCCTGGAGAAGGTATTTTCCTTACGGAAGACCTGAAGAGAGTATTGTCTGTCAATAGCGAAAACCTGGAGAGGGTGTTCTTCACAGGGAAAACCTAGAACTGGAAAAGATTCTTTCTCTGTAAAGAAGATGTGGAGAGGGACTTCTCCATAGAGAAGGTCTGGAGAGGATCTTGACCATAGAGAAGACCTGCAGATGGTCTTGTCTGAGGGTCTTCTATTTAGAAGACCTTCCATAGGTCTACTATTAAAAAAAAGACCTTCCAGAGGTCTTCTATAAAAAAACGTATCTTCTAGAAGCCTTCTATTGAAAGACCTTCTAAAGGTCTTCTTCGGAGATGATCTCCTCAAGTTCTTCTATGGAGAAAACATTCGAGAGGTCTTCTATGGAGAAAGCCTACCAGACGTCTTCTATATTCTCTATAGACAAGACCTTGAAATGGTATTTTCTATTGAAAAGGTCTTCACCTTACACAAGACCTAGAGAGAGCCTTCTCCACAGAAAAGATCTGGAGAGGGTCTTATTCATAGAACAAGTCCTGGGAAAGATCCTTTCCACAGAGAAGACTTGGAGAGGGACTTTTCCACAGAGAAGATTTGGACCCTCTCCTAGTATTGACTATAGAGAAGACTTGTAGAGGGTCTTGACCATAAAGAAAACCTGGAGAGGGACTTCCTTACAGAGAAGATCTGGAAAAGGGTTTTTCCATAGAGAATATCTAGGGAAAGTATTTTCCATAGAAGACAATGGGGAGATCTTTTCCATATAAGATCTTGACAAGGTCTTCTCAATAGAAGAGGACATATTAAACCTGTAAAGCGTTCCAAATTTAACCACATTTCACACCGGTAATTTTGCAGCAAAACATCTTAAATCACCTCCCCCATCCTCATCATCCAATGAATTCCTTTGCTCACCACCACCGCCGTTGTTGTTGCCTACGCACCGCGCTTCAGCAGGTTATCACATCAGTTGAACTGGTCCGTGAAGAAGTATTACTAAGTAAACCCTCCGTTTGGGAACCCTGGGCACGCAGTAGACTAACGCCGCCCACATTACGCTCCAGCAAAGTCACCTGTTCTTTATGTCTATTGGGAGCTGCGGCATTGGCGGCTGTTGTCACACTCGCACTTGTCACCGTCGTTGTTGCGCTACTTCGTGAGAATGTTTTGAGGAGGACATTTTTCCCCTTGGGATCTTGACAGAGGTGGGTGACAAATTTCGTTGGATACCAACAGATCATAATGGCACCCAGGGCGAAGAGTACACCCGTTATTAGCTGGCCAATCAAGACAATCAACGGCACCAGCGCAATGTCTGAGGCAATTTCTGGTGTGACTCGTACCCGCTCTTCGGCCCACATTATCGGTATGAAGGTGCGCGGGATGTTGTGATAGGGTCTGAAACGGGAAAGGGAGAGAATTTTATTATGGTATCAGAAAAAAGAAATAAAGCGATCTTTTATGCAGGGCTGCAAACCGGTTACGAACCGAAACGCTATTTCGTTAAAATAACCACGGTTCGCCGCTGAAAAAATATTTTAAAAACCGAACCGTGGTTCAAAAGTAGTGTGGACCAATAAATCGGTCCAACCCAAATCGAAAAGTTGTTTGCAGCCCTGCTTTCATGTACATTGGCCATTCCTGGCCTCACAGGAGATAATTCCTTATAATTTTAAAAATTTTTAGGCATACTCTCAAACATTTAGATATGCGTTGCAGGGCCTAAAATGTGTCATTTATGTTGCCCATTTCAACTCTCCACCAACTTACCTTATCCCCGCCACTGGCTCCATCAAATAATTCGCCTGAAAGCCCCCGCCCACATCCATGGGTACACCGGCATTTGGTTCGAGGGTCATAAAGAATTCATGTTTCTCCTTTTCCGGCTTCAAACCTTCAATGGCTTCCAGGTATATCGGATCGGCTTTATAGAAATGGGGATAGGACATATAAATCGATGAGTTATATTTACAGGGAGCTATGCTAAAGACTCCGGAGGCTTCACATTTATTGTTGACACAGAAGCATTTGTTTTCGGGATAAATGGTACCTGTAATGAGGGGAAAAAGAGAATATCTTCAATATTTTGATTTGAAAAAAATCTATTACAAAAAGATAAACCGGATCCGTTGCGTAAAATAGTTATTTTATGAGAAAGATCTTCCAGAGGTCTTCTATACATAAGACCTTATAAAGATCGTCTATGTAGAAGAATTTCCAGAGGTCTTCTAAGGAGGTCTCCTAAAGCTCTTCTAAGGAGAAGATCTCGTACAGGTCTTCTAAGGAGAATATCTCCTACAGGTCTACTATGGAGAGGACCTCCTTGAGTTCTTCTATACAAAAGACCTTCCAGAGGTGTTCGAGGGGGCCCTAAAGGTATTCTAAGGAAAAGACCTCCCAAGGGTCTTCTAACGGGAAGACCTCTAAGAGGTTTTCTCCGTAGGAGATCTTAAAGAGGTCTTATCCATATAGAAAATCTTCCAGAGGTTTCTATGGAGAAAATCTTCTAGAGATCTTCTATAGAGAAGACCTTCTACAGGTTTTCTATGGAGAAGACCTTCCATAGGTCTATGGAGAAGTCCTTCTGCAGATCTTCTATGGAGAAGACCCTCCATAGGTCTATGGAGAAGACCTTCTGCAGGTCTTCTATGGAGAAAACCTCTTTGAGTTCTCCTACGGAGAAGACCTCTTAGAGGCCTTCTATGGGGAAAACCTTCTAGAGATCTTCTATTGAGAACAATTTCTACAGGTCTTCTAGGTAGAAGACCTTCTGCAATATCTTTCAGAGAACTTGTATGGAGAAGACATTCCAGAGGCCTTCTATGAAGAAGAACTTTTAGCGACCTTCTATAGAAAATATATCTTCAAGAGGTCTTCTTCGAAAAAGACCTTCAGGAGGTCTTCTATGGTGAAAGGCTTCAGGAGATCTTTTATGGAAAAAATCTGGAAGAGATCTTCACAGGGCTTCTTTGGACAAGACCTTCCAGAGGTCATCTATAGAGCATACTTTCAAGAGGTCATGTATGGAGAAGTCCCTCTAGATGTCTTCTATGCAGAAGACGTTTAATAGTTCTTCTATGGACGAGACCTTGAGAAGGTTTTCGTCATAGAAGGACTGAGAAGGTCTTCGTCATAGAAGGCCTTGGGAAGATCTTTCCTATATAAGACCTGGATAAGGTCTTCTTCTTCCTAAAAGGCTTTGATATGGTCTTCTTTATAGAAGACCTTGAGAATGCTGTCTTCTCCATAGAAGCTCGTTAGGGGTTGATTTAAGTCTATGGATGAGACCTTGAGAAGGTGTTCGTCATAGAAAGACAGAGAAGGTCTTCGTCATAGAAGGACTTGGGAAGATCTTCGCTATATAAGACCTGGATAAGGTCTTCTTCATTATAGAAGGCTTTTATATGGTCTTCTTTATAGAAGGCCTTGAAGATGTGGTCTTCTCCATAGAAGCTCGTTAGGGGTTCATTTAAGTATATTAAAGACTTTTTGAAGTTCTCCCCTAAGAAAGCCTTTCGAATGACTTTTAAGAGAAGATCTGTACCAATTCTTCTTCATAGAAGACCTCTAAAAATCTATCTCCATTTTTATGTATCTCTTGGAAAAAATGTAAAATTATGCTTCTACTTACCATTATCCACCGATCTCTCAGTTCCACTGTATTTGTAAGCCGTCACACCATGCACGCTGACCGTTTCGGTATAATCCAATGGCACTGCACGGCATACATTTGGCACATACATCCAGACCGAATCTTTCGGTGTTAAATTGGGTGGGAAAAATTCACCCATTGAGCCGCGTACTCGACCACATGCACCGGGAAAGGCGCCATTATGAGTTCTATAGTTCCAGCTATAGATTTGACCCATTTTGGCAATATCATCGGCGCCCGTAAACATATTGAAGTGGCCATCATAGGTGGAGCTACCGTTGCGCTGTAGAGGAGTAGGAGGAGGTTATTTAATAATTCTAAGGGGTAGATGTTGTGTTTAGACCTACCGTATATAGCCATCCTATACGATCGTATGGAACCTCAACTTCTTTTACGAATTTCGCCACAAATCCTCCGATTGTGACCAGCGGATCTTTGTAACCCTTGAAAAGCCATTCATTGGCGGTCTTGGTCACCGTCACCTGGCGACTGCTAAGAGTCATGGCTAGAATGCCCTTTTGAAAGCCATTGGCATCTTTGGCTCGCAGAGCGGCAGACTGAGGGGAAAAGAAATATCGGAAAAAATAAATGATTTATTTTTTTCTTATAATTTTTGTGGGGAAAAGAGACCTAGATGTAAAAAAAAAATTAGGGAAAAATATTTTTCCCACTAAAAATTTTATTTAAAACAAAAATTTAAATTCTCTTTAATTTCATTTTCGGATCTGCTATATTTTTGGTCATAAAATTTTAAAAAATTAGGTTTTTTAGTTTTTTTTTATACTCACATGCGCCACAGTATCCACAGTTGTTACAATATCATCCAACGTTCCATTGCTGCCCTCCGGGTCAAATTGAAACGTGGCCTTCTTTCGAAACGACACCGAATAATTACTTGGATGCCAGACAATATCGACTTTATCTGGCGTTTCACGAAATCTATAGGGGCCCAATTGCTCGAAACGAGGCTTTCGTGGCGATCCCTCGTAGAAATCTTCGGGATTTGTCCAATTGAATAGATACACATCAAAGTCCAGTGGCAGGGGTGATACCTTCCAGCCATCGTAGGTGGGTGAGGTGGGGCTCAAAGCCATTTCCTGTAAAAAACGAGTGGCAGAACAAAAAAAGTACCGTAAATAAGTAAAACTGTAGATAAGACAAAAAGTTTATGTCATTGTTGGAAAAAAGAGCAAAATGGAGAGAGAGGGAGATAAGATCGGAGATATGGTTGTAAAAACAACACGGTATTGCAAAATCATTGAATAAAAAAAAGAAATAAAAAATAAAAATCTGACAACAAAAACAAATGAAAATCCATTGAGGGAGATGATGATTCATATATATATTGTTTTAAATCAGGTTACTATTATCTTTTCAGGGCATTGAATCTATATGAAGATTTCGTCGTTGGAAAAAATAATGAGTAGGAGAGTATTAGTCAGATTTGTCAGCAGATATACCATCAGCATAGACCAATGAATATGTAGCCAAGGAATATGGCCAAGTCGTGCCTCATCGAAATAACGGTTTTAAATACTAGGTCTCTTTGAACCAAATCCGTTTTAGGATATTTGGAGTCGATCTAGCGATGTCCGTCTGTCTGTTTGGCTGGTTGGTGCGCACAGCAACTGTCGAAGGGAGTATCCGATTTGGTCCAAACATTATACATCGTAATATAATTATTAAACTTAGATCGAGTTCGGAGATGGGCATAATCGGTGCCCACAAAAAGTCGAAATATTCAAAAAAAATATTTTACTACACAGAAAGAGAAAGGATCATTCGATTTTGCTCAATTTGCAAATCCCAATATTTGCATCAGTGCTAGGTGAGTTGCGAAGATGGATAATAGTGTGATAGTGTGATTTCTTTAGAGCACTCCAGCATTTAAATGTGAATAAAAATTTTGTGTCTCGTACCATTGCTCCTTACCGTGATTCGGAAAAAAACAGCAATATCAGCAGAAATTTTTCGAAAATTAAAGAAGCGACTTGATCGAAACCCGCGTCGCAGTGGCCGAAAAATGGCTCGTGAGCTGAACATATCGCAATATTCCATTCGGCAAATATTGAAAAATGAGCTCGGGGTAAAGCCATTGAAATTCCACAAAGTGCAAGAACTTACACCGCAACAGAAAGAAAATAGACCCAAAAGAGCTAAAGAGTTGCTTCGCTTGGCCGAAAGTGGTGAACGGCCGAATTTGGTTTTGTCCGATGAGAAAAGATTCGTTGTCTAGCAGTTAGTTAACAAACAAAATGATCGTGTTTACTTGCCAAAGAGGTCAGCTGAAAACATGCACATTCGGGTGGCCACCAGAACTCAAGCGCCAGCCATGGTGATGGTGTGGGCCGCCATAACAGCCGATGGTCGCTCTCCCCTCGTATTAATCGACCGTGGCAATATTCTGGAGGGTGTATTAAAGCCTTGTGCACGCAAACATTTTGTCTGCAGACCTTGGACATTCCAACTGGACTCAGCGCCATCGCACTCAGCACGCGCCACCCAAGAGGTTCCTCGCTACATTTCTAGCGCGCAATGGCCACCAAAATCTCCGGATACCAATCCGTTGGACTATTGTGTCTGGAGTATTTTGGAAACCAAGGTTGGCACTAAAAAATACCAAAGTGTCGATCACCTCAAGCAAGCGCTTCGCCGCAAATGGGCCAAAATATCTCAGAGCAATATTCGGGCAGCGTGTGACGGTTTCATTGGCCGTTTGAAGGCCATAATTCGTGCCAAAGGTGACCAATTCGAACAAATCTAAACTTATTCTAAAATTTGATGCTATTCGACATTTAAAATTTGAGGATTCCAGCTTTACCCTCTCAGCTAATACCCAATTGAGTACGACTTAGTACTTTTCGAACAATTATAGTGCACATTTCCAAAACTACCTCCATATCTTAACCACAGACTCCAACAGTGATATCCGCATCAAATTTCAGGATTGCTGCTCTATTCGTCTACCCAATAATAAATTTAGTACTATTTAGTACTTCTCGTACAATAACAGCACACATTTCCAAAACCACGTCCAGATCTCAATTCTAGATACCAAGAGACCTCAATGTCCAATTTCGAGATTCCAGATCTATCCATTCACCCAATACCAAATTTAGTAAAATTTAGTACTTTTCGTTGAATTACAGTACAAATTTCCAAAACCCCATTCATATCTCAATCCCAGATACCAACAGAGGCCTCAATATCAAATTTCCGGATTCCACCTCTATACATTCACTCAGTATCAAATTTGGTAGCATTTAGTACTTTTCGAGCAATTATAATACGCATTTTTAAAACCACCTCCATATCACAATTTCAGATACCAACTTGGACCTCAATATCGAATTTGAGGATTTCACCCCATACCATATTTAGTACTTTTCGAAAAAATATAGGACTAATGTCCTGGCCACCGCCCACCAATCTCAATCTCAGTCACCAACAGAGACCTCAATATAAAATTTCGGGATTCCAGCTCTATCCCTTCACTCAATACCAAATTTAGTTCCATTTAGTACTTTTCGTACAATTAAAGTGCATATTTCCGAAACCACCTCCACATATCCAGGCTACACATGAACAGTGACCGCAATACCTAATTTCAACTTTTCAATTTCGAAAAAGCCCTTGATATATTTATTCTGCACTCCATCAGTGACTCTCGTTCCAAATTTCAGAATTCTAGCTTATTATTTTCTTCCAATACAAAGTATTAAATTTTTAGTACTTTTCTTCAAAAGAGATCTTGTGTACTCATAGGTGTGATTCCTATTCGATATATCGTTGGAAATCCTAAATTTGGAATGCAGGTCATTGATGTTGTGTAGGATGGAGAAAAATAGAGTTTTTTAGAAATTCGAACAAAATGTGTACCAAACAAAATTTTATCCAAATGTATTTTAGGTACGTAGACAAGTATAAAAGCTGTAAGTTCGGCCGGGCCGGTCTTTGAATACCCTCCACCATTTGGAATGAATTTGGCAATTTAAAAAAAAGAAAGATAAATAAATAAAATCCGTTAAAAATTCTGTTCAAATCTTAAAAATACCCAATGTAGTCGTTATATTAGGGTCTATTCGACGACGTGGGCCTGCATAGGCTACTTTTGTCATAAGCCTTTAAAATATTCAAATGAGAAACTTAAAAGAAAAAATCGGTGAATAATGAATGAATGAAATGATAATGAATTACAGAATATAGGGAGGTACGGTTATATTGGGGCCATACGAAGACGTGGACCTGCACGGACAATTTTCTGTCATAAGCTGTAGTATCCATTGCGCACTTCAAATACCAAATTTGAAACAATTCCGGTGAATAATGTCGTTAAAATCATCAAAATATCGAATATCGATAGGTACCATTATATGGGGGTTATACGAAGACATGGACCTTCACAGACAATTTTCTGTCTTAGGCTGTAATATCCATTACCAACTTCAAATACCAAATTTGAAACATTTCCGGTGTATAATGTCGCTAAACTCATCAAAATACCGAATATCGGGAGGTACCGTTATATGGGGGCTATACCAAAACGTGGACATACATGTCCCATTTTCAATACCAAAAGTCCTGCACAGATAATATACATTTTAGTAACATTTTATCACCCTACTTCATTTCGTTCGGAAGCTAGAGTGATTTCCACAGAAGGACAGATGGACGGACACTGCTAAATCGACATCGAATTTTATGCTGATATACTTTGTGGGGTCTATACCCTCCATATTATGGTGGAGTGTATAAAAATATGTTTGGTATAGCTCCCATATAACAGTAACTACACCTCCACACATTCGGTATTTCTGTGATTTCTGTCACATTTATCGCTGTTTCAAAATTTGGTATTTGAAATTCAAAATAGCCCCCTTATAAAAATTCAAGCTTTAATATTTAATATTTAATTTTTGTTTTTTTTTATAACAAATAAATATGTATGGCAATCAAAATCTCTGTGGAAAAGGGACGTTACTTAATTTCCTCATTTACAGTAATTTTGGTCAACCTCCCTCATTGTCACTGTCTCTACAGAGTTGGTTTGGATATCTTGGCCCTTGCTAAATTATGCTGAGATATTATGAAATTTTTAATTATTTTCATAAAATTTAATCAGTTCTGAATGAAATGCTCCTTTAGACGTCTGTCAATAGCGTTTAAGATATCAACACTATTGCGATTTCATTGGTTTCATCCCCGCAGAGCCTATGTCGCACGCTTTAAAATTATAGTTTGTCTGTTTTGTATTTTATTTTTAGTTTTATCAGCATAAACTTATGATTCATTACTAATCCAAAGCGATTAACGCCTTATCTGCAGATCAACATTTTTTTTTTTGTTTTTCATTTCGGTCTGTCGTTGACTTTGTCATGTGTCTTAAAAAGTTGAAGACATTTTTTTTCCTTAAGTTTTGTTTGTGTGGGATTTAATGGCGTATTTATTTTTGGTATTTCATATTTATAGTCCAAAAATGTATTGGAAATTTTATTAAAATCTAAAAAAAACTTAAAATTTGATCAATAATTGTCCATTTTGATTAGTTTCAAACCAATTTGAATGTATGGTTGAAATGACTTCAAGTGCAATAAATCCAATTTCAAAACAGCGATCATAAAGTGATATATCAAAAACGAATGTGTTGTCACATGAATTGTGCCAGATGTGCAGGAATAAAATTCTGGAGTAAGTAAATGTTATCAGCTTTTTAATGTTGTATGTATGTGTATTGGCAATGGGTTTGAAAAATCTCAATAAAATAGGAACAAACAAGCCACACTGTTCTAAAATAGGAATTAATACAAAAAATGAATAAAAAATATGGAAAACCTTTGAAAATACTCAAGGCGCATTTTTCAAATGGTCGTTCTTGCACAGAATGCCTCCAGAAGGCCTTTTTTATCTGGAAGATCATTAAGACAGCGTCCTTTCATAGGCTCTTAAAGGCATTCTTTTCACCGATATCCGTGTAATCGACCACCTATCATAGAAACCCTTGTAAGGGATATTTTTAGGGTATTTCTTTTAACAGAAGAACTTTTGAAAGTCTTCTGTCCATGAAAGGTCTTTTCACAGAAAACCTTTTAAAGTTCGT